GATGAACCTGCAACCAGGTACGTGTCCTTGGCTGGGAACCGAACCTGCCACCCGTGCGTGGGCCAACGCTCTAACCAGTGAGCACACTGGCCAGGGCAGGCCAGTGGCCTTCTGCGTGAGAACTAGCCACCCTTGAAGCAGGACAAGGAGTGCCCTCAGAGGGAAAGCCACACAAACACAGACCTCAACCAGGGCTGCTTTCTTCTCAAGGGTGGAGTCCCCACAGTTTTTGTCCCCTAGTGACCACTCTCAAGTAACTGCAAAGTTTTTAACAGTTTCCCTCTGACCCCGAGTTTATAATTATTGTTTTAGGAGTGTTAGTCTGATATACACTATCCCACCATTACCAGAAGCAGAACTTGCAATTCCATTATTGTCAGCAATGGTATAGCTCACCTAGCATGTTTCAGGGTGCTCCTGGAAGGCTGCCTGGTGGAGGTGGCATGGTGCTGTACCATTCATTCATTTATAAAGAATTGATGACACTAATCTGTCCCCTCTGTTGTGCTTGACAGGTGGGCTATCCCTCAAGGAATTTCATGTTTATGGAGAAGACAGACCGATAATCACTGACAAGACAGTTTCAAGAACTCTGCCACCATGGCAGGCGGGGGTCGGGGGGGCAGGGAGGGCAGGGTCCTGAGAAGTGGGGCATTCTCAGAGGAGGTGGGAAGGAGCCAGGCTGGGGTGCCAGGTGCAGTGAGAAAACACTCCAGGTTGGGGGCAGAGCTCACGCACAGGCCTCCAGGTAACCAAGCACAAGATCAAGTCTGGAAGCTGCAAGAAGTCCAGCATGGCTGCAGTTTGGTGTCTGGGGCGGAGTCAGACCATGGAGGCCTGTGTGACAGGCTAAGGAGTTCGATTTTTCTCCTGGGGACAACGGGGAAAGGACGGAAGGGAATGACACGACACACAGAGAGTGTGCTTGGCAAGCCACCTGCCTCCATTGGCAGTGAGCAATGACCATGTCCGTCATTCATGTTGGTTGGGTGTCTTCAGAGTGCCAGCAAGGCGGTTCCCAGGTGGACCCATGGTAAGTGTACTGCCCAGTCACCCAGCAAACATTTGTAGACTCGCACTGAGCGCCATCTCTCGTGTGCAGATGGACATTCATGGAGAGTCTACCTGGGCCACACATGGGACTCACCGTGTCCCTGGGAGGCCCCAGCGCAGCTCACGTCATGGAGCGTTTGCCCCAAAGACCCAGCCCGTATCCGTTCATGCAGAAGGTCAGTACATCCTGCGGCTGGATGTGAAGCAATGTGCACGAAATGGGAGCCACGATTACCGAGGCAACGGTAATCCTGTGTCAGTCCGTCCGCTCACCGGCATTGCTCGTGTGAGGAGCTGCTTTACCAGGGCCCGGCTGTGCCCCCCGAGCTCCTGCTCCAGGAATGCTCTCCCGCTCGTCCTCACCACTGCTGCCTCCACGTTGAGCACCTGTGCCAGGGCTGCTTCCGAGTCCTTTTCCGGGCCTTGCTCCTGGCAGGCCCCCAGGATGGGTCTGCACGACCTCCTGTCTGTTAAAATACCCGCTTCCAGAATTCAAGGACTTGCCTCCCATCCTCTGGGGCAGTTCCCACACTGCCCTGGACAACCTCGCCCGTTAACACAGTCTGAACGCTGCTGATTAGACTCAGCTAGGAAACGCACCGCTTCTTAAAAAGCTTGCTTGATCCTCACCCTGAGTGTTGCCAGGAGGCAAGCCTACGCCGCCTGCGAGAGAAGCCCTGGGTTTCAAAGCCCCGCGTTCGTCCACGTGGGGAGAATCCCAGGGCCAGTGAAGGGGCCGAATTTGGAGTGAGCGCAGAGCTGACGGCCTGGCGGTTCTTGCGGCGCGAACGGACTCCCCCCTCAGAATCTCCGTGCCCGCAGGCGCCTGGCACCTGAGGATGGCCCCGAACTGCCCGTCAGAATGAAGCGCCTTAATGAGCGGATCCCAGCTGCACCTCCCAGTGCTCCTCGCTCCGCTTCCCGCTCCCTCAGCTGGGCCGGGCCACGGCCAGGAAACTCATCAGCCTCCTGAGTAACAGGTGAGAAGCACCCGAAAGGAAACACCTGTCTGCGGGAGAAGACATTAACGCGGGAAAGGCGGGGAGGGAAGCAGAAAGGAGCCTATGAGAGTGTGTGTGTGGGCCGAGTTCTTACATCATAACTTGGAGTCCATTTGGAAAAGACAGATCTTTTACAGAAGCTGTAACGGAAATCCCATTTCCCATTTGCTGAAGATGAAGCGCCGCAGGAGAGCCTGGCGTGGCTGGGCCCTCACTTCGGCCTGAGGGACACCCTGAGGAGACCTCCACAGGAGCAAGAAGTAAGCCTCCACGTGAGGTTTCAGATATCTGGGGTGCTCGTCATAGCAGCCAGCTAGGCCTCACCCACACCCCACCCTGCACTCACAGCCTGTTTGGATGGACATCTGGCCTGGAGGTGGACCTCCCCAAAGGGCTGCTAGCAGATCCTGGGCATCCTCGAGGGGGAGCTCTGTCCACAGTGGCCGTCTCTCCTCTGGCACCTTTTACAGGTCTGTGTATGGAGGGCCCAGAGGAAGCAGGTTCCATGTGTCGGTGCCGGGATCCTCAGCCTGAGAAACCACAAAGCCAGGCCTGCAGGACACTCTGGCACGGCTCACCAGACACCCGCCAAGCATCACACACGTGCCCTCTGGTGTGTGAGCAGATGAGAGTGCTGGGTATTCATTATAAACCCACTCACTCACTCTCACCTTCCTGCTACGGGGCAGGATCTGGTCCCCTGCCTGTGTTTGTAAATAAAGTTTTATTAGCACACAGCCACACCCCTCTGTTTACATGTTGCCTATGGTAGCTTTCACACCTTAAAGACCACAAAGGCAGCCGGCAAAGCCTCAACTACTTACTCTCTGCCTTTTACTGAAAATGTTCCCCCTGAGTCAGACCAACCTGTTTCCACCGGAGGTGACCTTTACCAAGGACAAGCACAAACCTTTAACTAGAACCGAATCACAATGGAAGGCTCACTCCCTTCCCAGTCTGTTCAATCCTGACAACATTTGGGCTAAGCTTCAGGCCCTGCGTATCTATTTTTGTTGTTGTTGTTAATCCTCACCTGAGGATAATTTTCTGAGAGAGAGAGAGAAACATTGATGTGAGACTCATTGATTGGTTGCCTCCATACACTCCCTGACCAGGGCTGGGGATGGAACCTACAAGCCAAGTATGTGCCCTTGACCAGGAACTGAACCCCAGCCCCTTCCTTCAGTGCAGGCCACGCTCTATCCACTGAGCCACACGGCAGGGCGGGTCCTGCTGTGGACGCTTCAGGGTCGCCGCCCCTTCGAACACAGGCAGGCGGCTCTGGGCTGCGGTGGGAAGCGAGCAGCGAGCAGCCGGCATGCGCGCTTGCCCTGCCTGTGGCTGCTTCGCAGCTACGCCGGCTTCCCAGTGGTCGCCTACCAGGAAGTCTCCTTGTAGCATAAGTTTATATTAACAAGCAATCACTAGAGAAAAATTTTCACTAAATGACAAGTGATTATCAGATGCGGCGAGGGCCTGGAGGGTGGAGGGACATGAACGTGGGGACACAGCCCTATTGCAGTGGCTGGGGTTGGCAGGTGGGCCTGGAAGGCGGGAGTCCGGGGAAACTGCCCAGGTTGGTGTTTCGATGGCCGAGTGCTTCGCCACGTCCTTACCTCCATTCCACAGCGACATCCCCAGTCGGGCCACTCTGGGGCGGCGAAGGCCCGGGAGCCCCTCTCCCCACCTGGGGGCAGGCAAGGAGGGCCGGCTTTGTGCTGTGAGCTGGGAAACTCCTGTGTCACCGACTACCGCTCACACTCTCACACCGGGTGGGGTTTCCCCACTAAGCTGTTCTCTGACACCAGCTGGTGTCCTGCAGTTCAACTCACTCCTGCCCGGACCTACCCAGTGACAGCGCCACCCCTCCCCGCCCCACTCCGGCCCGTGAAAGGCTCAGGCCCGCAGGGCTGCCCACTGCGATGCCCACCCCCCGGCCAGGCTGTCACCGCGGCTGACCTGTGGCTGTTTACCAATCGGAGGGTCCAATGACCCTTTCTTGCATCGTTTAATTGGCCACAGCAGCTCAGAGAATTTAGGGAAACAGTTCACTCACTAGACTGCCAGTTAATCACAGAGGATATAACTGGCGACAGGCCGGTGCGAGAGATACGCAGGGCAAGGTGTGGAGAAGGGTGTGGAGGCTCCATGCCCTCCCCGGAGCACACTGCCCCCACGCCCACGTGGCCACCACCCTGGAAGCCCTCCGAGCCAGGGCCTGTGGGTTGTGGGGGGCCTCACTATGCAGCCGGAATGGATTCAGTCATTGGCTATGAACCCCCCACCAACTCGGAATCACAGTCCAGACTCAAGTCTTGTGACTTTTCAGCAAGATCATCATACAGTCACGCCACCGCTCAGCAATTTCGTCATTGTTTGAAGGCGTGTGAACGATCAGGCCAAAGGCAGGTGTCAGAGGCCAAGGGCCTGAACCAAAGCCCGCCTCGCCTCCTCCCACTCTTGGGCGCAGTCACGTGACAGTAACTGCGAGAGGGGGACCCAGGGGACCCAACTCACGCAGCCCATCTGCCCTGGACAACTGGATGCCCCCTGGGTTGTCATTCGTGTAACTCACTGAAAAGGCGACATCTCAACCTTAGATACAAAGGCAAACCCCTCCCGCCACCAGGAGCAAGCCCATCAGACCTGATGGGCAAGATCCGCAGAGCAGAGGCTGGGAAGCCTAGACCTTCCCCACGCAGGGGCCCCCAACACAGGAGGGCTCCCCACGCAGGAGGGGATCCCCACACAGGAGGGGCTCTCCATACAACGGGGTCTGCATGTATGGGGGCTCCCCACACAGGAAGTGTTCCCCCCGCAGGAGGGGCTCCCCACGCAGGAGGGGGTCTGCATGCATGGGGGCTCCCCACGCAGGAGGGCTCCCAACTCAGGGGCACCCACCCCATGCAGGAGAGGGTCCCCATGCAGGAGGGGGTCTGCACTTACCCGCACGAGCTGCTGCGGGAAGGGCCCGCGAGAATTCTCCGGCACGTTGATGGGTGGGATGACCCAGTCCCGCTTCTGCCTCCGCAGGCCCAGGCCACTGGAAGGTGGATGCTGGGGCCACGGCAGTAGCATGTCGCTGGGAGGCGGGGTGAGGTCCAGGGCTGGAGTCTTCTTTCCTTTCTGAGGCATCTGCGGCATCTTCAGGGGTCGGGTGGGGAGGGGGAGAGAAGAGCCACCACGTGGTTAAGTTCTGCTCTGAGGAGAAGGCGTCAATTAGAGAAGCCGAACTTTCCTGATCGACAGGGAAAGCCGGGATGATGTTGTGAGGAGGGGCTGTGTCAGGGAAAACACCAAACAAGACGGGGGGGCGGGGGGACCACAAAAAATAAGAAAATGCAGTTAGCTAACCAATAGAGTGGACCGAGCTTTTAAATCCCGAGTGGAAAACAATCACAAAGGGACAAATACATTTTAGTTTAAAAACTCCTGGCTAGGAAACAGGTCCTAAAAGCAACTGCTGGACTAGGAGCAAAGGGTTAACAGCCTTGCTATACAAACAGCACTTAGAAACCAATAAACATTTTGAATCTTTTTTATAACAGGAAAAGGACATGAATAGAAACTTAATAGCAAAAATAAAAGGACCAATAAATTTCTAAAACCGCCCATGGTTCCTAGTAATCAAACAAAGCAAAACAATGTGTCCTTTCACCTCCCAGACCGAGTGGGCGCTCTGCAGGGAGAGGTGTGCTGTGCATGAGCTGCAGAGAGAGGGCCGAGGGCGCGGGGCTGGGCGGGGAGCAGACCTGGGGTCTCACACATATGTGCACGCAAGGGTTCACGTGACACTGGCTAAGTCCCTTCATCTCGCCAAACTCCAGCCACTTCTTTTTTTGTTTTAAATATTTTTTTATTGATTCAGAGAGGAAGGGAGAGGGAAAGATAGAAACACCAATGGCAAGAGAAAATCATTGAGTAGCTGCCTCCTCACGCCCCTGGGGATTGAGCCCACAACCCGGGCATGTGCCCTTGATCAGAATCGAACCTGGGATTCAGTTCACAGGCCGACACTCTGTCCATTGAGCCAAACGGGCCAGGGCCAAGTCTTATTTTTCAAAGGATCCAGAAGAGATGGGACAGAAACGCACCCAGAGGCCACCTGTGTTCTCTGGTCACCAGCGGGTTTCATTTTACTTTATTCCTTCTATATTCCTGTGTATCTGAACGCTATCACACGCACGGCTTTCTATAATTAAAGGAGCCAGCAGAGCTTCATGTGTGCACGGGGCACTTACACACCTGTCACCTCTGTGTTTGCTCTCAAGGTGCCCCATATGGCGCCTCCGCCCGGTGTTCCTGGTTGTTCACTTCATGCTGAGTCTCGGGCCCTGAGCACGAGAATTCACCCGGCAAGGCTGACCTGGGCCAGGACAGCCAAGGCAGGGGGACAAAACTGGCTGGAGGCGTCTGAGCAATCCTGGCTGGTCCCCCTCCCCGCAACTGAGCTCAAGGCCCCTCGAGGCTCCTGGCTGGTCTTAGCATCGTCCTCTGTGGACAGAGAAACTTCCCACTCTGTTTTGCCAAAAAGCTGCATAGCAGTAAGGTAAACATGCACACAAAACTGCCTTGTTAATGCCAACAAAACAACAAACAAAAAAAAAACTTCTATACGCCCAGATACCCAAACTTAAAGCTACTCCAAGGGAAAGCCCATCTGGCCAACCACACTCCCGAGAGAGACCCGCTGGGACGTCCCGTCGGTCCCTGCGTCTCACTGTGTTCCGCTCCCAAATTCAAGAGTTTGTCCCAATCAGAGCCGGGGCTTTCCCAGGTCACTGTCCTCCTTCCTCAGCAAGGAGCCCCGGAGGCACGTGTGCCCTGTGGCCCTGCTCCCGCGGGCTGGGACACTGCACCCACTGCTGGACGCTGCCTTGGGACCGCCTGCCGTGAGGAGCAGGGTGGGTCGTCTCCAGAACTGCGTTTAGGACACTCCTGCCCACATGCTCTCCCGGCATCCAGGGCACAGCTGCTTTCCACGCCACAGGGGCTGAGCGTTCCGCCGTTTCCACCCAAATCCGCCCCATCGCTAATTTGGTGGAGGCACCCCACTTTACTAGGGACCCAGCAGGGGACTTCAGAGGCGCCAAGGAACACCCGAGGGTACGCTCATTAGGGAGAGGCAGGATTTGAACCCTGGGAGTCAGACTGCAAGGCCAGAGCACCAGGCGGGGAGTGACCCTCCTCTGCTGGAGGCTCGTGCCTGTGAGGTGGCACCCCTTTCCCAGTCCTGGCCTAGGTGGCTGTGCAGAAACCAGGGTCCCCACTGAAGACGTGGTGCTAAACCCCAGGCTGTGGAGGGAGCACTCCGAGGTCCCGGGGAGTCAGCTTCAGGAGCTCATTAGAAATGACAGGCTCAGGTGCCACCTGGATCTGCTGCCTCTGGGGTGGGCGCGGAATCTGTGTTTAGGGGGCCCTCCAGGCGCCACGTGCTCCACAAACTCACAGCCTTGCCTGGGACTCCTCCGCCATCCCCAGGTCCCTGCTCAGAAGGGGCCGGGCGGGGTCTGCTCTTGAGCATGTCCGCACAGGGCAGCAGGCGGACTCCGCCCAACCCACCTCGTGCACTATGCCCCAGGAGCCCCCGCCACAAGCATAGCCTCTGGGGGGCTGTCTGTGTGCCCCCACACCCCGCATGACGGTAGGAGAGTGTGCCACGCCGGCACAGCCAAGGGTGATCCCGAGGGGGTGGGGGTGGGGTGAAAGGATTAAGGAAAGACAGACAAGAGAATAATAGCTGGGTCTAGGTGGGACGCTGCCTCCCCGATGAGGAGACGACAGCACCCACCAGCCGTGTCTTTATTTTATAACAGATGCCACAAGGCAAAGTAGGGGCGTGATCATGTTGTTTACAACATTCTCGTGAGTTCCAACCTCACTCAACTACATGCACCCGAACTCTATCACAAGGCACGTGGGGCTACGTGTTCCGACCATAGGTTCAAGCTTACAACCACAGCCGCTGGCTATGATTGTGCTGGGAGAGCCCTGCCCTCCAGCTGGGACTTGCACGTGGCAATGAGAGGACCCTGTCCTTTCATTAGTCGGAGGCTTGAACCTGGCCAAAACACCGTAACCGCGCCCCACAGGAGAGCACAGGTCTGCCTCAGCGGGGCGCTTGGGCCCCAGCAGATGCTCACTTGAGCCTTCTGAGTAACAGACACAGAATGTTAAAGGGCTTCAAAGAGCCATTGAAAAGCCCAGACGCCCTGCTTTATCTTCATTTGCTCAGGAAGAGCTGGCCCGGCATTAATTTCCCTAGTGCTGTTTAAATAAATTGCCTGTATTTGCAATGAGACAAATGTAATAACAAATCTGGGGAAAATCAGCGCCAGCCCTGCGCCCGCTTCAGCCAGCAGGACGTTCCCACCTCTCCGGGAGGCCCAAGGTGACGGGCAGGGACTTGGATGGGGCGAGTGTGTCCTGGACACCTGTGACCCGGCCCTCTTGGAGCATGGCATGTAGCACTGCCCGGCTGAGCCCCCAAGTTCATGGGCCAGCTTCATGATGCCCCCAAATCCCATCATTCACCACCCTCATCTCCCCGGCCCAAACCTGAACTCCAAGTGACCTGTCCTCCGTCTCCACCTGCTGGCCCCTTATCCCGCACCCCATTTTCCTGAGCTCCCTTCCCAGGCCCCCGCCTGCGCCCGCCTGGCCCCTCGTCGGGGACTGCTGTCTGACTGTGAGTGTAACTGGCTATGACTCCCAGGTGAGGCCTTCAGGGACTCACCGCTATCACCTAGAGGTGGGCCACCTCCTCCCAGCGTCCCTTGCAAGTGAAAGATGAATAATGCATGAGTGACCTGGAGCAGGCTTTAAATTATCGCCTTAAATAAACAGGAAAAGAAAGTGCCTGGGAGGAGGGCGGTCACGCACCTCCTCCAGTCACCATGCAAAGGTATAATGCAGAGGTCCTCAAACTTTTTAAACAGGGGGCCAGGCCACTGTCCCTCAGACATTCCACACATGCGCACTGCGGGCCCGGGACAAGTCGGCTGCTAAGCAGGACAGACAGGCAGTGGCGGCAAAAACACCCAGTGGGCCGGATAAATGGTTTCGGCGGGCCGCATGTGGCCTGCGGGCCGTAGTTAGAGGATCCCTGGTATAATGTATCCTCTCTATCCAACTGCACAGATCGGGAACACAGGGTTATGAAGAGCCAGGTGTGTGCGTGGGCTGCGAGCCAGCGGGCCGGCCCCTAACATACTTGGGGGTCACTGCACGGGGGGTGTAATAACCCAGGGTTGGCCTTCGGGGCAGGAGCCCTGGTGCCTCCCCGGGCCCCCCGCCATGAAGGCTGAGGTGGGTGTGGGCTGGATGGCAGGTGAGTGAGCGATGTTTGAGTTTCAAGGCGACAGGAATCGCAAGGGCCACACAGTCTTGATCCAACAAATTAGGCTCCCCCGGTGGGCCAGGGGTCCGCATGGTGGACGTGCCCGGGAGATGGAGCAGCCACGTGGGGGCTCCACGGTGCTGCAGGAGCATCTCTGAGATGCAGGGACACTAGAGCAAGGGCTGGGCCGGGCCAGCCGCAGAAGCAGCGGGCGGGAGGGAGCGCGGGAGAGCTGGGCGGCCGGGACTGGGCACCTGTGTAGGGAGCAAGGCTCCCGTTCTCCGAGAAGGTAGCGCAGTAGAAGCTGCTCCAAAGCCAGCCGCATGTGGCAACATTCTAAGGATACCCAGCAGCTCACCCTTTGAAGACAGTGTCCCAGATGACAGCCTGCTGTCCCCACAGGCCTTCCCACCTGTCGGGTCCTGGGCGGGCCTGCTCGACGCTTCCTGAGCACCGTAAATTCTCCCATTTGAGAAAACGGCATGGACACAAGCCCACCTGATTCGATAATGTAATTAATGGAAAATGTCCGTTAGGTTTCCATGGGACACTCCCACTCAGCACGGTGAACACTGATATCTTTGAGGCCTCTCCTCAATCAAGGGCTCCAGGGGGGCCCTGCCCCAGACGTAATCTCCAGCTTCCCTGACCCAGGACAGCAATTCCTCTGGCTGGCAGTGCCGCTGGGCAGACCCCTAATGCTGAGACTGGCTTCTTTGGAGGGGCCTATGTTGCAATTTGTACAAGCAGAGCACTAGGGGGTGGGGAACTCCCCGACTTTTCCTGCACTCCCGGTCTATCTCGC